TAAATTGAATATGTTTTCTTTAAATTTAGCTTTGATTCTGAAGACCCATAGATTATTGATTTGGTCATTAAATAATTTTTACTAAAAATATATGTAAACCCTCCCGAAACACTACGTCAATGTGCGACATACGATTCCCCTTTCCCCGTCTAGTAAAACATGCGGACAGAAGGTGTATTGGGTATACAGTGTGTAGGGCGAGTCTATCTTAGATAATATGATGTCTATGGTCTAAACCAAAAACGAAAGGCCGATCACCGATCGCCGAGCTGTCATTATCATTCAATTGTTTTGCAAAAGATGCAGTGTTGATTAGGTAGGTATCTCCTTTCAACAAAGGGAATGTCTTTTTTTAAATTTAATAAAATTTGATAAATATGATATAAAATATATGTATAATTATCAAATGATTATTATTGGTAATGGTTTTTGGGGTGAAAATTAATGCATTTTATGGTTAGTTTTAACGCCAGTCTGTCTATCACAGCCGGTTTCCTACGGGATAAAAAGAGATAGAAATAAAATAGCGAGAAATGCCAAAAAAACGCGTATTAGCCAGCGCAAGTAGGAAGAGCCTTTCTCCCAGTGGCGGAGGGATAATTATTTCTTTTATTTTAAATAAATATACTAATAGTCCAGGGCATTTAGATCAAAATCGACCAGGATAGCGGAAATTTTTAGGGACAGCAGATATCGAGATGCGGTTTTCTGCAATGTGTTCAGGAAGGTCCCAGGAAAAAAGTCTATATCGTCTGGTTTAGCCATTTTTTGAAAAATGTCTAGGCCGGAAAATGCATTTTCCAATTGCATTCATTACTTGCACCATTATAGGAACGACTGGAAAAATCTTTCGGAAATCGTTACTCGGTGGTTTTCGGGGCTGCCGAACTCGATTCCGACATTAGAATTACCTGGGGGTGGGCTCTGCGGGAGTGCGCGGGAGGTGAATTGGGGAGAAATGGCAGCGTGCATGAAAATCGCTCCAAACTCGTTACTCAGGGGTTTTTTGGGATGCCGAATTCAATTCTGGCATTGGAATTACCCGGGGGCGGCTCTGCGGGGGTCATTCTGGGGGAGGGGAATTGCATAGTCCATGGGACTTTGGCTTTGTGGGGTTGTCTGGAGGTGATTGGGGGGGGGGGGGGGGGACAGCGTCCATGAAAATCGCTCCAAAATCGTTATTCGGGGGGTTTTCAGGGATGCAGAATTCAATTCTGGCATTAGAATTACCCGAGGATATCAATAATAAAAATTTTGATTGAATATTAAATAAATAAATATTACACATATTATCAAGGCAATTGCTTTGGAAGTTTTTTGTGCCTCGAAACTGGATTTGTAAAAGGCGCCACAGCTATAAGAGAGTAGAGTATCGTTATCACGGGGACCGGCGCGAACAGAGATATTCTGTATCGACTGCAGCAGACATTGAAGACAACAGACAGACTGCGATTAGAAATATAAGAAAGAGTCAAGAGGAACAGAAAAAGAGATACGACGCTAAGCGTAGGACACCAGCGAAATATTCAGTTGGTCAACAAGTACTTGTCCGACGACATGTTGGCTCTAATGATGGTAAAAGTAAAAAAAATTACCGAAGTACACTGCCGTCCTAAAAATAAATGCCGTATCTACTGAGAGCGATAAGCGAAGAAAAGGGGATTTAAAGTTATTTCCTTAGCCCTTAAGTATTCAGAGCTGGCTAATTAGTATGTTGGAAACTTATACAGCATTTCTGCTTGGCAAAAAGTTAATTTAACTTTCCACGAACCCATTGATGCAAAAATATCAAAATTCAATTTTTTGTAGATACGGCATCTGTTTTTAGGACGGCAGTACAGTGGACTTTACGTGATAAAAGTAGTATTGGACCACGATCAATATGCCATAGAAGACATGCCTAGAGCGGATAGGTCGCAAAAACTCTATAGTGGTATATGTGCAGTGGATCAAATGAAACAATTTACACCTAGAAGTGATAGTATTGAAAAACTCAGCAGTGAAGATTAAAAGATTACTGCTGCGAAGCAAAGTGCTTCGACAAAGAAACGTGCTTTTATAAAGCAAAGTGTTTCGACAAAGCAATGTTCTTTAATAAAGCCATTTTGGAGGCTATTTTTATTCGAAATTAGTCGTCAAGCCTGCTAATTTATAAAAAATATATAAGCAGTTTCTTAAAAATGACTATGGTGGTGCTAACTTAAGCTTACTACTATTTGGCCCCTAGCCACAAAAACACCTTCATCAAATTTACTGGCTCTCTCTTGCAACCCAATAGGGACCGTGCGTCATGACTTTAACGCTAACTGGTGACAAAAATGTGAACTTTATGGGGGGTATTTATTAATGTTTTATACGGCATTTATTGTTTAATAATTATTAATAAAATAAAGTCGAATTATTTTCGTAATATCAATATCGAAAAAACTTGTTGCATCCGTGGATGTACAAACACATCACTTTAGAAACCTGGATTTCATTCGATAGTAAAGAAATTTTATAAATTTCCACAGAGCACAATTATGCCTCACATCCAATGATATACATAATTACAAAGATTGCTTATCCATATGTAAATCAGACGACGAAAAGCGTATTTCACTGGGCAAAGTTTTCTTTTTATCTAGCTTGTATCAATTTTGAGCACTTAGTTGTAAAGAAATCATTTACAGAACCGGTTTAGAAATTAGAATCTTTAGTGTTTTCTTGTCATTAAGATTTTTATATATTTAAATGAATATTTTATATAAATATAATTTTACAGATAATGGTTTATTCTGTTGATTAAAACTAATGTAGAATATGAAATAAGAATGTCCAATTTGACAAAAATATCACGACCCACTTTACAATTTATTAACTATTTCTCATTTATTATTAAAATAAACAAATCATAAATAATACATTGCAATTACTGTCAAAAGAGATTGTAACAAACTTTAAAATATTAAAAATCCAGTGATTTTTTGTAAATTTTTTTAGTGACATTACCATTAAACATTATTCAGAATAATAGATAAGTGTCCAATTACAACTCTTACCAAAGTTGTTTATACCTCATATCAAAATTGTGTTTACATTACCTTTTCAAAATTGTATGACATATTGCAATTATGTATTTTATGTAGAATTGTTTCTGAAATAGTAGTCTAAAATTATTTATATCCATCTGTTATAAAAGTTGTTTAGATCTCTTAATATTATTTAACTACATGAAAACTCAACTTTCCAAATACATAATGACATGTCTTGAAGTAAAACTTTAATTATTTTCTTTTTCTAAAGATTAAAATGCTGAAATTTTATTTTAAAACACATTTGGGCTAGAACGGCTCTATTTAGTGAGCACCAGGAAAGGCACATTGCAACCCGCTTTTCATAATTTTTTTTATAGATGGGTGAGCAATCTATAATATGTATCATTGAACATCTCATAAACGTCAGTGGATGAATGACATTTCAAGTAATATAAAGCTAAAAAGATTTATAATTATTATTATCAATCTTTTTTATTAATTTACATTTTTTAAATGTTATTGTAATACTTTTAAATTCAGCGTTACTAAATACCGATATTTTAACATTGGATACACCTGTTTAAGGTACAACTTTACAATTTATTGTCACTTAGCCATTTAAATCTTTTTGCTTAAAATATATATGAATGTCCAGATTTTAATAATGTTTCACATTTTACGTCATTTTGACCATGTACACGATTGTTTGGTACGGGCCGGTATCTATTTTTAACTATATTTAATATTTAAAAAAATACCCTTTATTATTTACTTGCAATGTTTACCCCATTTAATTCTAAAATTAAACACTAGAGAGGGCTAAGTTCGGCAGTAGTGCTGCCTCTATATTTCACGCACGGTCTCTATAGAATAATTAACCGGCCATTTTATTTGGCAAAAATCAAAATAATGCTTGGCTGTGCCTGTCAAGTATGAAGATGTCAACTGTGATGTGTGAATGGCTCTTAAATATCAAATTATTTAAAAATGTTTGTATGCTTCTTTTGATATTTATTGCAAATAATTTGTAGTGTATCTCAATTCAGGATTTCCATAAATAAAGGTACAGTAAGACAGATAATATAATGTTCTTACACAAAGCACTTTTTTATTATATAAAAAAGAGTTAGGATATAATGATGGTTTACAAATTTAATATACTTTTTGTTGTATGAACCAACGCCTGCACCTACCTCTACTCAGAAAGAAATTATAAGCAGAAAACTAAAAAAAAAAAAAGAATTTTTGCTATTTCATTCTTATTTCGTATAATTTTTTCCTAAAAAAAATTGAATTTACAAAAAATTTCGTATTAACTATACCTGCATTTTGCTTCGTTTCAGAGATATGATTAAAAACCTCAAAGGGTTGCATTTTCACCCTTATCTCCAATTTCCACCTGCTAATTTAATTTAATAGCATATTTATTGGCCATTTCAATGATTTATGCCATAAAAACACATAAAAGTGATCATTCCTTTCTATATTATATATTCAAAAGGGATTTTCAAAATGCATTTTTTTTATTTCAACATTTTTTTGCATTATATATATTATATTTATATTTATTTAGGAATTAAACTTAAAATGGATACGCTACTGATTTGAAGTCAAACATCAACTTTATACGAGTAATATGGCGTTGGTTATGACGACACGTCCGTTCATACGACTGCAACTTCAGGTGGATTCTTCTCTCGTGATAAGAATTCTAAATTATTTCTTTATTTTTTCACTTACGTGACAAGGGCATCAAATAACTAGGTGTACTTTACGCACTAGTGAAAAAAGTAACTTTTATATTTCTAATATTAGTGGATAATATGTACGGTAGTAGAAAAATATGAAATACAACTCGTGTGTAAAATCCCTTTTTTGACTACGGCTCGTGCGACAACATTCACATACATAAAAAAAAGAATAACTTTACACACTTGTAGCATAAATAACTACAATAGTAATAATAATTTTACGCTTTCTTACCTTTGGCCGTATCGGAACTATTCGGAAAAGATTTGTCCGTTCGTTCCCGCATGAATTTCCATTGGTGGTCTTCGAATTTGCATTCGATTATTTTATTATCCAAGTCTTTTAATGTCTTCGAGTACCTCATTTGTGCGAAAGGACTATGTTGATGACCTACGTATAAATAACCCTTTTTCTTTGGAAGTTTCCTGTTGAAATAGAAACGATTTTATCTAAAAATTAAGTGCGTACATAGTGGTTGATTATGAATGCGTTATTTAGTTTACTAGAATTAGGTTTTTGATGATAATATTTTAGTACAGCATAGAGATCAGAGTAATAATGAAATTGTTCGAGAAAGTCTCGAACACATTCAGTTTATTATTTACAATAAATATATTTTTTTGTATCATACTGTATATTACTATTCATAGTATAGACACAGGTTATACAATACAGCTAAAACACTCTCTTGGCGGCAACGGTTTGCGTCGATTTCGTCGTGCATCGCTTAAGCTCCGCCTTCGAAGGGAAAAGACGGTTTTGGTGTTCAGAAGCGTACTTAGGTAAGGTGTTGAGTCGTGCGTATAATTTCGTTGATTGTATAATTTCGTGGAGCCTATAATTTCGTTGATTGTATAATTTCGTGGAGCCTATAATTTCGTTGATTTTGTTTGAGTTAAAGGTACTGTTATTATTTTGGTGACTCTTTAGCTATGAGTAGAATGAGTGAAAAAAAAAGACATCATTCTGTTTGTGCAGTCAAAAGCTGTTTTAATAAGGGTTATACCTGCAAGAAAACAATCTTTAGTTTTCCCAAGGACCCAAACCGATAAGTACCACATTATAAGAAATTTTCATTGTTAAAAATATAATTTATACAGGGTATCCCATTAGTGCGTTATTGTTCATTATTTTGTTGTAGACACGCAAGAAAGTTTTAAATAAAAGTTATATGGATTTGAAAAATACCTACATATTTTAAAAATATCTTTGGATATACAGGGTGTCACGTTTTTGCCTGGTAAATTAAAATGTGTTTTTTAAATGGAACACCTTGTATTTTATTTTATGATAAAATTATTAACACCCTAAATTATTGTAAAGACGAATTGATACAGAAAAATTTTATCAGGTATGTGTGTGGTTACCTTTTAATAAAAGCCTTGCGGATCCACTCCTCTGCGATACCTGTCTTAAATATAACAAAGATCACGTTGAATTAGATGATTTTTCTTTTTATTGCTTTTTAAAGGCATATGATAACGCCAATCCAGATACATTTGGAAATCTGCAACTGTCAAATGATGAATTTGTAGAACTAATATTCAATATTGAAAAGATATTTCAAAATAATTTTGAAGAATTGGCTACAGAAAATAACATTTTTACCACACTTTTAGAATTAATTAACCCAATACCCTTTAGTCATCCATGCTAACGTTTTCCAAAAGAATAACTTATTTTATTGTATGTTTAATCTCAATAACTAAAAAATATACTGACAATTAGTGTGACAGAATTGTCATTTAATTAAAATTTTAAAAATAATAGCAGTCGGTTGATCAAAATATGAACGGTGATTGGCGAATTTATTTTTTTTTGCAGTGTTCTCACTACCTAGAATGGATATGAAATATATTCGTTCAATTGAAGGCAATAGCATACTTTTTCGTTTTGTAATCTGTGCATGGATATTAGCCAATCTATGCACATACTACAAAACGAAAAAGTATGTTATTGCGTTCAACTACGAATATATTTCATATCCATTTTAGGTAGTGAGAACACTTTAACAAAATTAAATCTACAAATCACAGTTCATATTTTGGTCACCCAACTCCTATTATTTAAATTTTTTTAAATAAGTGACAATTCTGTTAAACTAATTGTCAATATATATTTTAGTTATTGAAATATACATTAAAATTTTTGTGTAGACTCGATAAATAATAGCATTTTTGTTTTTATTGTGTCTACATTTAAAAAAAAATAAATTTTAATCAAACTACATGATACTAATTTAATTACGAGTATTAAAACTAAAGTCCTGAAAGTTTCGGTGAAGATGAGGACAGAGCATCTGCCTTCCACGCGAAAAGCCCGGGATCGAATCTAGGCCGAGGACTAATTAATTTTTCATGTTAATTTTATTTTATAAATTAGTCAACTTCGTAAATTATTTTAAAATTAGTTATTTTGTCTAAATAACCTAAAATAATTTTTTAAATTTGTAGATTTTCGTTAGTGGGTCGTAGAAAAAATATACTGACCACTGATAGAGTGGATTGTTCATATCACAATCAGACGATTGAGTACTCCGCATACGACGTCGTGCTCAAACTTCGTCTTTGTGTGATATTGCTATCATATCCACCCTTGTTGAACAAACTATAATTTATTTGTTTTCTTGGTTTAAACCAAAACTTAAGTTTTACATCAGAAATAGGAACTAAATTAATTTACTTTTCAAGTTTTCTTGTAAAAATCGATATTACTTTCTCCAAGTACAAATTTAGTACCTACCTAAAATAAGTACTAATTATGTAATATCGTGTAATATTGTAATTCAAATTTCACATTACTATAAAGTTTCAAAATTCACTACTTCGGTATGGTCAGATAAAAATTGAATATATTAATAAAAACTGTCAAAGTATTACTTCTACAAATCTGTATTTCAATTAATAAGAATACATCTAAATATAACCAATATTGTTAAAATAAAAGCACAAATTCTTTATAATTCCAAAATACCATAGAGTTCCCAGACCTCAGTCAAAGCATTCGTTTATCTAGGTATAAACCCTTTGCGCGAAGAGTAACACTTGCCAGAGACACGGGGTACCACTTGATTTGCATCCACGAGCGTGACACAATTCTTTAACAATTGAAGCCCTTGGTGTAAAAAGGATCCAAGCCACAATTTGTCGTGAAGTGACTGTTTTAGCTCAAAACATTTGTTAACGAGGATTTTAATAGCCACATACAAATTATTTTACCTCTAATCCGAAAGATGTGCTATTTTTCGTAATATTTATATTTAAATAATGTTTCTAATTATATTTGACAGATTTAAAACAAATTAAAAATTTAATTTCCCAAAACTTACTTAATATGGCATGTAACCAACCTTATTACGCCAAAGTTTTCAATTTTTTCAATAATAAAAAAATTGTTTAATCCGGGCCCGACTTTTCCCTCGAATCTAACAAAGATAGCACCATTCCGTCTTGCTTGGTTCTCGACCGCCAGATCAAAGACGCCGACACGGAGTTGTGGAGCTGTATTATATAAGCTGTGGTATAGACCCGCAGTGGAAGAGCTCTGGTTTTCCCTAATCTTTTAAAATCCCAAAATAAGCCCCAATCAAGGGTAATAAAAATTCTATTAGAACAGATAACAGTCCGTCAAAACTTACTAAACTTAGGTAGTTGATACTAATCCACAACAATTTTAAAGGACGGTTTTTCCCGAGCAATAGGCCTGGTACTTCTGGGGGTTTAAGGAGGGAGACAGAGTTGATAAAAAGGGTATCGCTGACAATAATCAGAGACTTCAACGATATTTCGTGTTTAAATAAAACGTTTGTAAGCGATTAAAAATTACATGGTCCTTCGAGTAAGAAAAAGGGGTAAACAAGTTTTAGTAGTTTTTCTTCTTCGACAAGACCTATGGTGTAACAAGACGTGTAGTTCTCCTACAGAAATTTTTGACTTTTTTGACAAAATTTCACAATGCGCAGAGATGAGAATGATCAGAAGAAGATATTATAATACACTGTATAATCTACTTAAATTGGAACCATATGGAAAAATTTTATTATTGATTTTAGAAAAAAAAGTTATTCTTGATAAAAAGTCCTGCATGACCCAAAACTTAAAATACAGTCTTCAGATATCAGAATAAATGTGTACTTTATTCTTGAGCAAAATTCATATTTTTTGGCAAACCTCGTATACGGCTTGAAAAATTTGATATCTGATGACTATTTTAAGTTTTGGGTCATGCAGGACTTTTTATCAAGAATAACTTTTTTCCTAAAATTAATAATAATTTTTTTTCCATATGGTTCCAACTTAAGTAGACACACTGTATATACATTTTTCGACGTTTTTTCACAGTTTTTTGTATTTTACACAAAACGATCATTTTCATGAAAAAATTTACTGGGCTTCTTTCAAAGAACAAACGATTTTCTATCGATTACGTATATTTATATATTTTTTGTCAAACTTCATATTTTTGCACGAAGAACACGTAGTTAACAAATTGTATTAAAGTATTGTTAACGTCGTGCTTAACAGTTTATTATACAACGTCCGACACACTGTATAATAGATTGCGACGTGCTCTTTGAGCACGTTGTTAACAGCAATATCTAAACATATTTTGTTAACGACGTACTTGAAGAGCACGTCGCAAATTATAATATAATGTCTGATAAGCTATTATAATAAGTCAGTGTATAATAAATTGCGACGTGCTCTTCGAGCACGTCGTTAACAAAGAACAATATTAAAATACGGCTGTTAACGACGTGCTCGAAGAGCACGTCGCAATCTATTATACAATGTCAGACAGTGTATAATAAATTGCGACGTGCTCTTCGAACACGTCGTTAACAATATGTACTTTGTTAATAACGACATGCTCTTCGAGCACGTCGTTAACAGCACAATGTATTCAGATATTAACAAAGTACTTGAAAACGCGTTGCAATCTATTATACAGCTTGTCCGACATTGTATAATATATTGCGACGTGCTCTTCGAGCACGTCGTTAATAGTAATATTTGAATTTAATTTGTTATTAACTACATGCTCTTCGAGCACGTCGCAGTCTATTATTATACAATATCGGATAAGCTGTATACAAGGTGTAACTAAATTAGTGTAAAACATTTAAGGGAATGATTCCTCATCGAAAAAAAGATAGGATCTTTCATATAAAGGAACTTCATTGGAGCATCCCTTGTTAAGATACAGCCCCTTAAAGGGGGTACATAAAATTTGTTTAACAATTTTTTTCACAAGCACTAAACAAGTTACAATATTGAAATTAACCTGACATTTTCTACTACTAAAAAGACACTTAGCCAGTAATTTATTTGGTTTACCCCATGGTTGTAAGGGGTGGAAAACGCAACCCCTAAAATTTCGTTCCAACGTAACTTTTTGTCTTATTATAGTCTAAGATCCGAAGTAAGGTCGACCTTCACCCATCTGTTTAATGGATGAAAGTTTCTTTTTATTACATAAAATATATTTATAAATATACCGCAAATGGGTTGCCTAAGAAAATACGGTGCAGACTATTTTTTTTTCTTAAAGTAAAAAAACCGACACCCTGTAAAGTATTCCCCAGATGCTTCAACTATGCCCAAACTTTAATCAGCTCACTGCAGGATGGATTAAAGCTTAAGTTTTAAAATTGATGTTTTTCTCTTTATCTGTTTTTGAGTTGTCTTCAAAATTCGAAATTTGCACTTTTTCTCAAATATCTCAAATTAGGTTCATTTTAGGAAAATCATGTATAGGAACAAAATAATAGATAATGACATCATAAACAACTTTTATCATTATTTTTATACTTTCTTTATCTGTACACAGAAAGGATAGTAAAAAATGGCCGTGACCATATTTTTTTAGGCAACCCATTTGCGGTATATTTAAAAACATATTTTATTTAATAAAAAATAAGTTATATCCATTAAACAGATGGGTGAAGGTCGACGCTACTTACGGATCCTGGACTATTATTTGTTTACCATTTAAAAATTTATTTCCGATAGCCTCTTTCATTCTAAACAAAAAATGTCTCTTTTTTTCCTAAAATAAACCAGTTGGCAGCAAAAAATTATTTTACGAACAACTACAGAGATACATCGTCGTAAAATAATTTTTTGTTGCGAACTTGTTTATTTTGGGCAAAAAATTCAAGAAACATTTTTTGTTTAGAATGAAACAGGCTATCGGAAATAAATTTTTAAATGGTAAACAAATAATAAGACAAAAAGTTACGTTGGAACGAAATTTTAGGGGTTGCGTTTTCCACCACTTACAACCATGGGGTAAACCAAATAAATTACTGGCTAAGTGTCTTTTTGGTAGTAGAAAATGTCAGGTTAATTTTAATATTGTAACTTGTTTAGTGCTTGTGAAAAAAATTGTTAAACAAATTTTATATACCCCCTTTAAGGGGCTGTATCTTAACAAGGGATGCTCCAATGAAGTTTCTTTATATGAAAGAGATCCTATCTTTTTTTCGATGAGGAACCACCCCCTTAAATGTTTTACACTTATTTAGTTACACCCTGTATAAATATTACTGTTAACGACATGTATAATGTTTAGTTTTCGATGTAGAGAGAATCATCTACGTGACAGTGATGCGATGTAACGTCAGAGGTAGGAAAAAGGTGATAAAAGCTCTGGTAAACGAAAAGCTAGTAGCTTTCGTTTTGTAAATTCATCCCACCTGTCTTTCCTCTCTTATCTTTGAAGAGTTTTATTTTAATTAAAGTGAGGTAGAAGCTTTTTCTTTATTGTTCTTAAGGTGAATTGTTGGCTAAACGTTGCATTAGAGCAGTGGTTCTCAAACTTTTGTGGCGACGGAATCTTTATGAAAAGCGAAATATTTGACGGTGTCTTAAACACACTTATAGACCTTTGACATTTCTAAAAAAAAAAAAAAAAAAAAAAAAAAAAAAAAAAAAAAAAAAAAAAAAAAAAAAAAAAAAAAAAAAAAAAATGGTCCTGAAGCAAAATAATATCCTGCTTCATCTTGCTGATTTCTAGCGATAGTACTGCTTCTTTCTTTTTATTATTACGACTATTATTTTCTATAAAGGCTTTGCGGAGCCCCAGGGCTTCGCGGACTACACTTTAAGTAACGCCTGCAGGATTTAGTGATTAACTGATGTATATTCCACTAATTTAGGCCTATATCGTTGGTTAGAGATGGATATTATTAAGTTTAACGAAGAAGTTTTCAGCTATTTCGAGGTTTTTTTATCGACTTAACTCAAGTAACGGATTTTAATCTTTATCGCCTTTTAATTTAATATTGTTTTTCCAATTTTTCCATTGTATTATACCAAATTGCAACGCTATAATGACGAAAACGATGGATTAACGGAAAATCTATTTGATATATTCGACAGCTACAACTTTGTTCTGATAAAATTTTCCATCAAAGTGTCTGGTTTTCATATAATATGCAAAAAACTGCAAAATATTTACATTTGTTTCTTTTCAAGCGCTCTAGCGGTAAAAATATGAAGTTTGTCAAAAAATGTAAACAACAAATCGATAGAAAATCATTTGTGCTTCAAAAAAAAGTCCAGTAAAATTTTTCATGAAAACGCACCGTTTTTGAATAAAATACAAAAAACAGAAAAGATGATAAAAAATGTATATATGTATACGTAATACTTGCTTCTGATCATTTTCATCTTTATTGTATTGTTGTTTGTTTGTTTATTTATTTAATATTTTATATCTAAAATTATTAAACTATATATTGTATTATATTCAAAAAAAAAATTTAATTGTATTATTTAAAAAGATTTGATTGTATTATATTTAAAAAATTTAATTGAAAACAATATTTGTACTACATTATAGATAAATAAACATTATTATTATTATTATTATTACTCATAGTGAAATTTTGGAAAAACCTTCATTGTTATCCAAGTTTCTATGCTGTACTAAAAATTTTTGTTTCATTGGAATTTTTTGTTTAATTCTGGTGGACTAATAAAAATTATGTCATTTTGGTTCCATTGACAATTAATTCTAACCATACTTCTAATATTGAGATACATTTTTACTAGTTTTTTATTAAAAAATTAAACTCTACAAGGAAATCTATTGATTCAGAAAAAAAAATTAGATTTTATCATTAATTACATTTCAAAATATATAAAAAATAAAAAATATATATTTTTTAATTTTGTCAATCCAGTTCCTTATAAAGTAAAATAGATAAGAGTCAACTTATAGCAAGCCGTCATCAATCTATTATACAGTGTGTTCGATATTGTATAATAGATTGCGACGTGCTCTTTGAGCATCAAATTCTATTTAAACATTAGTAACGACGTGCTCGAAGAGCACGTCGCAATCTATTAAACAGCTTGTCCGACATTGTATAATAAACTGTAATGTGCTCATTGAGCACGTCGTTAACAACAAATTGTATTCTGATATTTTTGTTAACGACGTGCTCTTCTAAATACACCTTGTTATTAACAAGCTGTACAACAGATTGCGACGTGCTCTTCAAGTACGTCGTTAGCAATAATATTTAAATACCATACAGTGTGTTCTATATTATATAATAAACTGCGACGTGCTCTTCGGGCACGTCGTTAACAACAAATTGTATTTGGATATTTTTATTAACGACGTGCTCGAAGAGTACGTCGCAATCTATTACACAATATGTCCTACATTGTATAATAGACTGCGACGTGCTCTTCGAGCACGTCGTTAACAAGAATATCTAAATACACTTTGTTATTAACAAGATGCCTGTAGACCACGACGCAGAATATTATACAATGTTGGGTAAGCTGTACAATAGATTGCGACGTGCTCTTAGAACACGTCATTAAGAATAATGTTTGTACAATTTATTGTTAACGACGTGCTCGAAGAACACGTCGCAATCTATTATACAGTGCGTCCCATATTACATAATAAATTGTGACTAATTGTATTCACATATTGTTAATGTCGCAATCTATTATACAACTTATCATACATTGTGAAACAAATTGTATTATATTATTGTTAATGACGTACTCTAAAGTATGTTGCAATACATATATTTTTATTTTTATTAATTTATTTTATTTTTTAATTTTGTCAATCCAATTTTTGATGGTGTAAAATAAATAAGAGCCAACTTCCAGCAAGCTATCATTGTCGACACGTTAACTCCATAAAAAAACTGTGGATTGCCAAAATGCTACTGCATGGCGCAGTCAACATTAACCCCACATTGTGAAACATCTATTTCCACACTTTCGCTCATATTGCTGTAACACAGCTGCACTTTTTACTATAGAAACTACGTCTAAGTTCTTTTAATATAATAATCGAATGATATATGATAAACAATAAAGGATAGGATAAGAAATAAAGGGTAAGACAAAAAATAAAACAAAGGGTAAAACAAAAAATAAAAAAAGGATAAAACAAAAAATAAAGGATAAGACAAAACATAAATGATAAGACAAAAAATAAAGAATAAGGCAAGACAAAAAATAAAGGATAAGACAAAACATAAATGATAAGAAAAATAAGGGATAAGACAAGACAAAAAATAAAGGATAATACAAAAACTAAAGGATACGATAAAAATAAAGGATAAGACAAAAATAAAGGATAAGACAAAAATAAAGGATAAGACAAAACATAAAGGATAAGACAAAAATAGAGGATAAGAAAAAACTAAAGGATAAGACAAAAAAGACAGGATAAGACAAGACAAAAAATAAAGGATAATACAAAAATAAAGGATAAGACAAGACAAAAAATAAAGGATAAGACTAAAAATAAAGGATAAAACAAAAAATAAAGGATAAGACAAAACATAAAGGATAATGGGGTCTATTCTGTAACAATTCCTTTATATTTAACGGCCTTTAAAAATATTGGCGGCCTATAAAAATATGTTCGTATTCGTTAATTTACTTCTATCATTATTTAAACAGATTCCTTTAAGATAGTCATCTAATGTATTTTAAAGATCCGTTTAAATAGTGACCGAATTAAAGAAGAAAATATTTTTAAGGGCCGTTAAATATAAAGGAATTTTTACAGAATAGACCCCAATACAAGACAAAATATAAAGGATAAGACATAAAATAAAGGATAAGACAAAAATAAAGGATAAGACAAAACATAAAGGATAAGACAAAAAATAAATAAAAGATAAAACAAGATTATGACAAAAAATATAAATTCACTTACCCTTCACCACCTTCAGTAACGATTTTTAAACGAAAATCGACCGAATTGAGACTCAACGGTTTCCATTTAAGCACGTCATCACATCTACCCGCCGTATAAGGCTCTTTGGAGGGTTGAAAAATAAGGCCGTCCGGTTCGTGCGACAATGTACTAGCGAACTTCTCGCCCAGCAAGCTAGCGGCCTGCGTGATTTGCCAAAAATCTTTTTTTCTCACGCTGAACGGCTCGTTCGCCTTCTTGATGATGCCGCTCTCCATGGCGAAATATCGCGGTTTGATTATTTCGTTTTCCAAGCATTGCAACCGGACCGGATGGAAGGGCATCTGGCCGACTTTTTGACCTTCGAATACGACTATGTCGTACGCTAAGTACCTGGGAATGTCTTTTCCGTTTACTTTGTCTATTACCATTTCCTGGATAAATATTTATTTATTAACGTACAAAAAAGCAAAAAAGTAAAACTATATTTATAATAATAAATGATTTGACTTTAACTATTGCAGCAATTCAGGAAATAAGATGGAAGGGCATAAAATACAATATGTATCATATTATATAATAGATTGTGACGTGCTTTACGTCGCAAACTATTATACGATATGTCCCATATTATATAATATATTATATAATATGGGACATATTGTATAATAAATTGCGACGTGCTCTTCGAACACGTCGTTAACAACAATTTCTGAATACAATTTGTTGTTAAAGAAGTGCTATGCAGAAATCTATTATATAATATGGGATATATTGCATAATAGACTGCGACGTGCTCGAAGAGCACGTCGTGTATTTAGATATTGTTATTAACGACGTGCTCGAAGAGCACGTCGCAATCTATTATACAATATGTCCCATATTATATAATATATTGCGACGTCGTTAACAACAAATTATATTTAGAGGACGTCGCAATTATATAATATGGGACATATTACATACTATATTGCGACGTGCTCTTTGAGCCCGTCGTTAACATTAATTCCTGAGTACAATTTGTTGTTAGAGACGTGCTCTGCAGAAATATATAATATGGAACATATTGCATAATAAATTGCGAAAAAATAAAAAAGTAAAACTATATTTATAATAATAAATGAATTACAGGGCCTTAAACTGTTGCAGCAATTCAGGAAATAAGATGGGAAGGCATAAGAACAATTGAGAAAAAAGGATTTATGTTACATTATTCTGGGAACGAAAAATAGGGATGGTATGGGGTGGGATTTATAATGCTAGACGATTTACACGACAAAACAATAGAGTCTAATTAAAAAATAAATTTTAACTGATTTTATCATTAATTAAATTTCAAAATAATAAAATTCTAAATATAAAATTAATAATTTCGAAACTTGCTGATTATATCTCTCTTATAATAAAAAGATATTTATATACTTTGGAGTTTTCCTAATACTATTGATAAAATGCCCTCAGCGGCTAGTGTCAAGATTGACAAGCAAATTAGCCCGGAAAATGCATTAGCCGATTCTACCCAAAATTTAACTCCCGTTAGGCAAGCTATAACTATTATTGAACATAAAATTAGGAATTTGGAAAAGAGAAAGTCAAAATTAGAATCGTATCAGGAATTACAAAAGGCCGGAAAAGAACTGAACGCCAATCAAAAGACTGCAGTGGCGAAATTCAATGAAGTGATAAGCACATTAGATTTCGCTAGAGATTTATGTAAACAGTTCCAAGGTATCGCCGTGTCCACCGAAAAGGAAGCGAAAAAGAATGCGAAAAAAGAGGCGGCCGCGAAATACCAAGCCGAATTGGCGAGGCTGAGGGAAATCTTGCTAGTGCAGGACGCCCTTAACCAAATGGGAAACGAAAACGTTAGAGAGGATTTTTTGCAAGGACGAAACGGAGCTGCTCAATTAAGTGAAACGGATCTAAAATTATTTGACGACCTTTATCCCGCTGTGACTCCGAAACATGAAGCAGGCAACGCTACGGCCTTCATGAATGAGGTGCAAGCGGCCGCAGAACATCTTTTGGCAGCCGTTGACGGCAAACCGAAAGAAGTATTTGGCGGCACCTACACCCAGATCAAGGAAATATTAGGAAAAATCCACGAGAGCGGGTATTCAAACGCAGCAGGTGTTTGAGGAGTACGTCGAAGCCGAACTGGTACCCGAACCGGAGTCCGTAGTACCCGAGGAACCGCTAAACAACAGTAACGAAGTTGTCGAGTTATCGCCGTCGCCCACTCAACAACCTCCGCTGGAAGCGCATCCGGCGGCGATACCGACGCACGCTCTACCGCTCATCGAAACTTTGACAATAGAAAGCAGAACTACCATCCACCAACAATCGCCTCCGACGGTGGTGGAACAGCCACCTCCGCCGCCCGCGTTGGAACAGGGCATGAATCCGGCTCGAAGGACCAAATGTTCCAGGCCCTATTGGTGGAACATCAGTGGTCATCAACCACTTAGGGTTTGATGATAAACCAACCAATAATATACACACTAACGACTTGAAAAGTCTGTTTTTCCCAAAAGGCGCAGTATTTACGGATTCCCTAAGTTACCTGTTGCTTTGAGGTTCAGTAAAACTCAATTAAAAATTAACTTTCAATATATTAAAAGTAGTAAAGAACACAAGTACAAAAGAACAAAAATTATGTTAAAATACAAACAACCTATTAATAAAGTGGTAAAAACTAAAACCAGTCAATTAAGTTGTTAATACCTGCACTCAATTGTAGCTATTGGAATAAAAATAGTCAAAACAATACGATACGTGTTTTGTAGATCATACACCTGATCCACCGTTCAACCCAGTTACGGCAGCTCCGCAAATGGCCCACACGCAGCGACACAGTACACCATATCAGTGAAGCGAATCACCATAGACCAAATGTCCAACCTCAGACAGGTTCAACTCTAGAACCACCAGGCGCTCCAACGTGGTTACTAAAATGCCTTAAGGCACTCAATGCGGCACATAACTAGCCAAGAAGAGCCAGAATTTTTGAAAAGTCAAAATTAATTCTCACATTAAAACAAAATAAATACAAATAAAAAAATAGTTGAAATATAAAATGTAATGCAATGGATTAGTTTAAAAAGTTAAAAATAATTGAAGAATGACGATTAAACAATTAAAATTGCAGTGAAAGTAATTATTCTTTAATTTCTATTTTTTTAATTTTGGAAATCCAGTTTCTTATAAAGTAAAATAAATAGATAGTCAACTTGCAGTAAGCTGTCATCAATTTATTATACAGTGTGTCTGACATTGTATAATAGATTGCGGTTGTCAACAACAAGTTATAATCAGATAATGTTATTAACGACTTATTTGACATTGTATAATAGACTGCGACGTGCTCTTCGAGCACGTCGTTAACAACAAATGTATTCAGATATTGCTGTTAACGACGTGCTCAAAGAGCACGTCGCAATCTATTATACAATATGTATCATATTATATATTATATTGCGACGTGTTTTAAATACAATTTGTTGTTAACGACTTGCTCGAAGAGCACGTCGCAATCTATTATGCAATATGTCCCATATTATATAATATATTAAATAATATGTGATATATTGTATAATAGGTTGCAACGTGCTCTTCGAGCACGTCGTTAACAACAAATAGTATTTAGAGCACGTCGCAAGACGTGCGCTGCAGAAATCTATTATATAATATGGGACATATTACAAATTTGAATGCAATTTGTTGTTAACGACGTGCTTGAAGAGCACGTCGCAATCTATTACACAGTGTGTTTGACATTGTATATAATAGATTGCGATGTGCTCTTCGAGCACGTGGCTAACAACAAATTGTATTCAGATACTGCAATGTATTATATACAACGTCAAACACAATGTGTAATAGATTGCGACAGAGCACGTCGTTAACGGTATTTAAATACTTGGACAAAACTTTACAAATCATAACATACCTATTCACAGGGTGTTATATTTATTCATAACAATACCAATAAAGTTAAGGCGATTAATAACAATGACGATACGATGCACAAAAATTAACATTAAAACACAAAAAGGAGCGACAGAATTCTAATTAATGAAGGAGTAAAGCAGGGAAATTCGCTCTGTTCAACCTCTCACTACGAAAAACAATAGTATTTTGAACTATAATTTCAATTTTCAGTTTTTTTTGTTGGGTTTTCTCGTTTAATTTTATTTTTAGGTTCCTGGAGGAACAATTTAAGATGATACGAAGATAATCAATCAGCAATAAAAGTAGAAAGAATCTCTGAAGAACTAGTTAAAATACAATATGTACCAAAAAGTAGAAATGCTTACTTAAGCACTTGGAAAGCCTTATTCAAAAGATATACATAATATTAGAGTACAATTATTGGATTATTTTTTTATTTCATTAAAAGGGGGTTCTGAAGTACAATGAAAATAAAATACATCCTGTATATATTGAATTTATGTTATAATGTTATAGTTTTTATTGTACAACTATTGTCAAATAATAAATAATTTGTCAGTTACTAAATCTACTATTTATTCAATTTAGTTTACCATTTCCAATAGGTTAAGGGCTCAGAAGAATAATACGAATAATTGTTGCAAAAAAAAATACTTACCCCATCTATTAGAGTATCTTTAAGATGCTTCCTTAAATCTTTCCTATGAACAAATCTGAGAAGATCCACTTGAAACACATTGTGATCTCTATCGAAAAAATATACTTCGTCTTCACCATCGATGAGCATCATGTACCTCATACCGTCAGCCTTCCAGGAAACTCTACAAATTACGAAGTTTTCATATTTTTAACAGAAATGGAAGTATTTATTACAATCCTAGATAATGTTATTAAAAATAATATACAGTGTACAGCGTAAATATGGACACCAATGATTTTAAAACCAATCAATAAAGTGTGAAAATTGTATCCCCTACTTTTCATAACACATATTTAAAGGAACTAAAGGAAGGTTCCAAAAAATTTGGCACATGAACAATCTGAAATTCCAGAAATTCTTTTCCTAAACAATAAATGAGATGATTAAATAGTACCTGTAGGGTTTTTCCTGTAAAAATTTGAGATTTGTAACGTCCATGGAAACCGGCTGGCTTCCTGGGAAACCTTTGCTTTTCCAATCGCACATAACTTGTACTTTCCTTTGTAATTGATGAGCTTTGGGTTGTGCCTCGAAAAGGTGCACGCCGGGTACACCTTCCATGAATTTGGGTTTCTCATTGTTTCTATACTTTTTAGTATGCGGTATTCCCTCAGGGAGTCTGAAATTGAAGTAATTAGTAATATTTATTATCACACAAAAGGAAAATACTGGGTATTTCCAATTTATATCTGTGCTATAACAATATTTTTGTAAAATATGTAAATTTGACAAAATAAATATTTAATTAGGCTTCTCATAATGATTTGGAAAGTAAAGTTTCTAAGGTAGATCAGATTATGGAACAAATAAGTAAGAATGTCATGTAATTGGTTTACATAAAAGAGAAAAAGTTAAAGAGGAACGACTGCTCTATGGTAAAACAAAGTAACCAACATTTTTGTCGAAATTAATATTTTGACATCGACTGTTTTTCCTTTCTTTGTAGCACACATGGGACGGTTAGAGATAACAGAGATATAACTATTCATTGACAAAATATAATATTCAGGATGTCAAAATTAATTCGACAATCAATACGGTCCAGTTGTAGGTCCGCGACGAGGAGACGCAAGGTGAGAAGAAAGATTACAACATTTTTTTATCAATGAATAAATGTGTAAGACAGCTGTGCGCTTATAATAAACAACGTAGATATCCATACCGGTGTAAGCCCCATTGCCACTTCTAAATTAACATTACTAGGTTTTGGAATTTATTGAAAAGTATTACATCTAATTCAGTGAAATTACATCTAATTTAGTTAAATTTGATATAACTAATAATTCAAATTTTTTAAGGTTCAGTTGTAATAAAATAAACAGTTTATTAATAAAACATTTTCCAAAAATCTCCTGTGAAGATGTAAAAATCAAGATACCCAAATAAAAACCTTTCTAGATCGTTATATTATTCCTATTAATCAATCTGGTTTTCGCCCTAATCACAGTTGCAACACTGCCTACTCTCAGTCATTAGAGCTACTGACCAAAATACATTTACAGTTTTAGTCTTATTAGACTATAGTAAGGCATTTGACAGAATAAATCATGCGATGCTAATAGGGATTTAATGAAGATTCGAAACGTCTTATTGCTATCTTAATAATAGAATACAGTATGTCAAATATAAGGATAAATTATCGTCTTCAGTAAACATAGAAAATGGGGTTCCCCAAGGATCTATTCTGAGCCCTTTCCTATTTTGTATCTATACATCTTTATTCCCAGAATCACTTAAGTATTGCAATTTTTACCAATATGCAGATGATACTCAGATCTACCTTTCATTTCCTGTGTGTAAATTTGAAGAAAGCATAAGATATCTGGCCAAAAAGAGCATTTATTTAGAAGTTTTTTTCAAAGGGATAACTTGCAGGAGTTCAGTGGATCCCAATCCAACAGTCAAACAAAAAATAATTATAATATTCATAACTTTTCAGTATAAAAACCAATTTTGAGCACTTCATGTTCAAATATGGCATTCAAAGGGTGTCCCAGAATCTGTTCAAATCTTATTTAACGAACTGAAAACAAACTGTGTTAATATTATTTCAGATCTATCCAATATAGATCATGACGTACCACAGGGGTCCATATTAGGTCCTACGTTATTTGTATTATACTTAAATGATATATTCAATTTTGTCCGTCAATTGAAATGCATCTGTTCTGCAGATGATACATCATTCTTGGATAGGGGCACCAATTTAAATGAATTAAAGGGGAAACTATCTAATCATAAAGTTAGAAATTGGTTATCACTAGAGCTAGGAATATATGCAAAACGCCATATTTTGCATATACAATTTTTGATTTTGAATACATATATTGACATTTTGTTAATTTTTTGGCATATATCTGACGTACTAATTGGCTGGACATATTAAAATTATGAGTTTTGGACCAAAATAATTTGTGAAATGCCTTTACAGGTCGATTTCCTAAAATTTTGAAGGATTAACTTTTCCCTGTAATAATAAACTAATTGGCTGGACATATTAAAATTATGAGTTTTGGACCAAAATAATATTTTGTGAAATGCCTTACAGGTCGATTTCCTAAAATTTTGAAGGATTAACTTTTCCCTGTAATAAATTACGGTTAATGGTGTAGGTACTTGAGAGGATTAAATTATAAACATCCTCCTTAAACCAACAAATTTTGCTAAATATCCTTTCAGGTAGTTCAATTAATATCTTCAAATTTCTAAATGACTCAGTTTACTTTCAACTTCATTTCAGTCTTTATTGTTGTGTTAACCAGTGGGAAAAATGGCAAAATTAATTGAGTCGTGGGTAAAATCTTATTCAGATTTTGTTGTAGAAGGTGATAACCAGGTGTTTTGTAAAACATGTTCTAAAATTGTAAGTACTTTTTTATTTTATATTTTATTTTGACCTTTCACAATGGTAAATCAAAGGACAGGTAGGGCAACTTTACAACGTACGCATTTATTTAATTTAATTAAAACTTCAACATCTACAAGGAATTTATTTGTTTTAGATTCCATGTAAAAAAAAGTTTCAAATCGACCAACACGCGAAAACACCCTCACATATAGCAAAGCAGAAATCTAAAGACACTCGCAGACAAAGTCAACTTCCCTTGAAACAATATTTAGAATCTGGATCGTCTAGAACTGAACAAGCTATTTTTAATGAAGATTTATGCAAAGCTTTAGTGACTTCGAATATCCCTTTAATACGATTAAATAATCCAAATCTCCGATCATTTTTACAAAAATACTGTAAATTTAATATTCCAGAGCAAAGTATATTACGCAAACGTGGTGTTGACAGTTTGTACATTGAGACTCGTGAAAAAATTCGTGAGATTACTGTTGGAAACCATTTCTACATTATTATGGATGAAACAACAGACTCTTGTGGTCGATATATAGCCCATTTAATGATAGGTTCATTACGCGAAGAAATGCAAATTGGTCCATATCTAATCGCTTCAAAGCAATTAGATAAAACAAATAACTTGACAATAACTCGTTTTATCCAGACAGAATTGTCTTTCTTTTTTCTTCCGGAAGCCGTTTCAGAAAAATGTTTATTGCTGTTATCCGATGCTGCCCCGTACATGGTAAAAGCCGCACAAAATTTAAAAATGTTTTATGAAAACTTAATCCATGTTACATGTTTGGCTCATGGTCTTAACAGAGTTGCAGAATAAATTAAGTCTAACTTTTCTTTAATAAATGATTTAATTAGTGATGTAAAAAAAATATTTCTTATAGCTCCTCTAAGAACTCAATTGTACAAAGAAAAATTCCCTGAATTACAGATGCCACCGGAACCTGTGATTACTCGGTGGGGTACCTGGTTTAAAGCTGCCATATTTGATTTTGATGATTCATCTAACGGAATATCTAATATAAAGAAGTTGTTTCAAAATCACATATTACCAAAGCAATTAGTGTTTTTAAAAAATTATGCATTTGTACCCAAAATTATATTAGATTTAGAACAAAAAAATTTACCTTTGGCGACTTCTGTAAATTTAATTAAGACGTTTGAATCAGAGTGTAAAAATGTCCAGGGCCATATTGGAAAGACGATTTTTCATAAATTTTCAAATGTAATTTTAAAAAATGAAAGATTTATTGTTTTAAGAAACCTTGCTAATATTTATTCTGGTAACTTTGAAGATATTAATACTATTCATCCAGATATTTCAGGAAAATTTAAGTTTGCACCTATTACTTCTGTAGACGTCGAAAGGAGTTTTTCTTTGTACAAATACATACTTACTGATAGGAGACAATCATTTAATACAGAAAATGTAGAAAAACATCTAATTGTTCATTCGTTTTATAATAATGTTGATTTGTAAATAAAATTAGTTAATAATTAAATAATTATTAAGTATTATATTAGGTATTGTAAAATATTGAAGTATTTTGCGGCATATATATGCGCATATTTAACTACTTTTTGGGTGCATATATTCCTAGGTCTAGTTATCACCAAATAATTTATTATTGTTTTTATTAATATTGTTACTGATACAGATTTTAAGAACATGGTAAAAGAATTTACACATGCAAATACTCATGGAGGATAATTAATTGATTTAATTATTACAAACTTAGACATTACAACTGAAGTAATAGACACACTAAAAATCAATAGTCACAGAAGTATTGCAAAACTAAAGAAATAATAAAAATAAAAAAATAGAAACGATAGAGAGCATGCAAGACTATTAATAGGGGTAGATTATTAATGAAATTAAGAGCTATTGGTTTGAGGGGTTGCTCACTGGACAGGTTAGAACATTATATGAAAAATAGGAAATATAATGTTAAGGTAAGTAATTGTGTTTCAGATAATATAGAGGTGCTACAGGGTTGTGTTCTGGGTCCGCTGTTTTTAATTTATATTACTGACATTGCTGGTGTAGTCAAAAGATGCTCAATACACTTATTTGTGGATGATACCATTATATATTGTTATAACTTGTTTTAAAGAAATTAATAGGTCAATAAATAAAATATATCATTATTGTAACTGAAATTCGTTGAAAATAAATTACGAAAAAACAAAATCAATGTTAATTGGGGGTACTGGAAACTTTAGAAAATTAAATGTAGCATCGCAGTGTTTCTGTTGATGAATTTTTAAGAGAGTAGACAAAAATTAAATATCTAGGGGTTATGATTGATACAAATTAAATATTTAGGGCACTGTTCTCCAGATCTCAGCAAATGGACCAAAATAATAATTTATAATACTCTTATATTACCTCATTTTAATTATTGAGCGACTATATTGAAGTCAAAATGTCTTAACAAAGATAGATAAAATAATAGTATAAGGCTAAAAACAAAAGTAAAAATTAAAATTCAAAGAAAAGAAATATTTCATAAATGAAATGTTTTGTTTGTTTTTGATACATTAAGAGATAACTCTTCAATATTCTCCCTCTTCCAGAGTATCATTGTATCATCTATAAATATGGTGAAGTATCCAATAATATTGACATTAATATCATTAACATAAATTAGGAATAAAACCGGTCCCAGAACAGATCCTTGGGGAACCCCACAGTGAATCATAGAAAGCATTGATGTTTGCTTATTGAAAGAAACTCTTTGTACTCTAGTCTCCAAATAAGACTGGAACCATATTTTTCTAAATTTCTCAGCAATATTTAGTGATTTACACAATCAAAAGCTTTGGATAAATCACAGAACACTGCAGCAACCTTGTTATCATTTAAATTTAGGTATAATTTTTCTAGAACAAAAAACATAGCATCGGTAGTATTTTTACTAGATTGAAATCCAAACTAAGATGTAGATAGCACTCCGTGATTTTCAAGAAATCTCATCTTAACCAATTTTTCAGTAATTTTTGCCAAAGTGGGTAATAAAGAAATAGGTATAACATTGGCTATTTTTAAAGAATCACTGGAAAAACCTGTCCAAAATGAATGATTGATTCTGATAAAACATTTAAAGCATCTTCTGGAAGATATGAAAGAAGATTAACTGAAATTTCATCCCAACCTGAGGAATTCTTTTTTGTGGTAGACGAGAGGATATCCTTAATTTCTACAACATCAGTTAAAAATAGCCTGTATAGTACCTGTTTTCAAAAAAAGTGACATAAAAAAGGTGGAGAACTACAGACCAATTAGTCTTTTGAATTCTTTCTCAAAATTTTTTGAAGTAAAAGAGTATCAGAATTTGTTATGACCTGTAACTTATTAAGTAAAAATCAACACGGTTACCAGCATGAGAAATCTACCCAAACGGCAATTTTCGAGTTTGTTCAGCATGTTCTAGGCGATCTGGAGAATGGTAGATTGGCTATGGGCCTATTCTTGGACTTGTCCAAAGTCTACGATTGTCTAGACCATGGGATAGTGCTGGACAAGCTGGAGAAATATGGAATTAGGGGACCTGCATTAGGATGGTTCAAATCATATCTTAAGGATAGGAAACAGGTTGTCAAAATATATAAAAATAATGAGGAAGGTAGATCTGTAAAAATAACATCTAATATAGGAATACCTCAGGGAAGTAAGGTAGGTCCATTGATTTTTATTATTTATGTGAATGAACTAAACAGCGTTATGATTGCAGATGACACAAATATCTTAAGAAATGCTTCTAATATGATGGAATTAACCCTAAATGCAGAGAGAGAGAGAGGGAGATAACTAAAGCTAAAAAATGGTTTGAAATAAATTAATACTTAATGAGGACAAAACAAATGTGGTACTTTTTAAAACCAATTACAACAGAGATGAAATGCCAATAAATATTCAACTAAACAACTGTATATTTAAGGTCTCAACTAGTACCAAGTTTCTGGGGCTATATATTGATAGTTTTCAGTGCTGGGAAAGCCATGTTGAGTTTGTATGTACAAAACTGAGCCAGATCTGTTACAGCATCAGAATTGTGAAGAAATATCTGGAATGGGATAGTTTAAAAATGGTATACTTTGCAAATTTTGAATCCAGAATTAGATATGGGATAATATTATATTCAATTGAAAGGATTTTTTAGTTCATGTAGAGGTAAATTTAGAGAAAATAAAATCTTAACTGTGATAGGCATATATATCCAGGAATGCTTAATTTTTTTATTTAAAAATAGAGGTTTATTTTTAAATTTTGAACCAACAAATGCTTATATATTGAGAAATATAAACCTAGTATATCCAATACATAGGCTGACAGCTACATAACATGGAGCAGGGTACAGCTGTGTAAAGTTGTACAATAAACTGACTGATGCAATAAAAAGATTAGCAAATGTTACAAGTATTTAAAAGGGAAGTACATGAATTGTTAATTAATTTAGAACCATATACAATTAATGAATATTACTCTATGTGATCATTAATATATTTTTCTTGGCACTGTTTTGTTTAAGAATTGTCTTATATGTATTATGATTGTTCCTCAAAATAATAATAATTATTATTAAAATAATATTATTTAAATAAGACAAAACATCAGTCGAAGAAGTTATTTGGGTGGACAGACTTGGACCAATAGAACGATAAAAATTGTTGATTTCGGTAGGGCTTGAATTGGTGATCAAGTCATTTATTGTTTTCCAGGTCTCTTTTTGTTTATTGCCTTTGAAAGTATAATTGTTTATATTTTTTGCCAAAGTCTTAATCCCTTTATTGGGTTTGTTTTTTTAGTGTTTTCATAGGAAAAGCATTATTAAATCAATTGTCTTCAATTCACAGTTGAGAAAATTTATTGTAATTAGATTTACTAAATATTCTTACAAACTATGTGACCTAATACTGGATCATGATCAGAAAAATAATTTTTTATTACATAACAACTTACACAATTGTATTTGCTCAACCAGAATGAGTTGCAATGATTGCAAAAGTTGCAGAATATGCTATTTATATTTAAAATTTAATCAGGATGTTCTTGAACACAACACACGAAATAAAAATTTTTTTAGAGTTTATACATCCATGAAAAAATGTACACAAAACTCAGTTGTTTAATAAATTGTCTGAAGATATTAAATGCTCTTCAAATGCAGCAATACTTAAAAAAAAACTGGGTGAGTACTTGCTGACCATTTAAAGTTTGTTTTCTATTCATTATGTTTTGTAAAGTTGACATTATGTTGACTGTATACTTATGTATTTTGTATTTTATTTTAAATGTTGATATGTATCGACATGTAAAAAATGGTTTTTTTACTAAATAAATTTATATACTAGGATTGTATGACAAAAACACTTAGAACAACATGTTTAGCAGAGACATACAAAGCAATGAAAAAGCAACAAGTAATTACTTTACAGTGTATAACTTGTAGCTGCTAATTTAACTGAATTGTTTTATATTAGTTACCATAAGTTGTTTATTATAAGACATAAAAATATGGTTGATATTTTGTTATGATCTATACACATTTTAGAAACTTTTATAAATAGTAATTTTTTGTTTTAAAAGCTTGTTTAGATAATTTCATAGTGTAAACATACAAAGTACATTTCTTGGAATTTTTTCCTAAGATAAAACTGAGAAAATTGCAAGTCCCCTTTATTGTAAAATAAATTATAACAGAATATATTAAAAAGCAACGAATTTACTAATTGCCATATTTCTATAAGCATAATATAATCAAAACTATTACTTATCTATTCCAAAGTTATTTATTTATGCTTCTAAAGTAGGGTACATTTAAATCAAAATTACTTACTTTGAAGAGGTCGATGCTCCTTGTTCTCTTGGATCATCATAATCATTAAGATCATTTCCATTTGTATCATCACTTTCCAGGCACCAATCAGGAAGAGGTGGAGGTGGTGGTGCATCTTCTACATCATCATACCTTCTATACAATTCCATTATATAATCCTCCTTATATATACCTACCGGTCTAATTAAAATATTAGAAATTTAGATCATACCTGCAGATTTAACACTTACCTGGATTCTGCAAACATTCCTAAAGCCTTTTCGACACCATAATCCATTCTTTTGACCATATACGAAACAATGAGGAACCCAGTTCTGTTAAACCCATGTGTGCAATGTACAGCAATACTATCTAAAGGATATCTTGAAATAAAATTATGAACGAGCTCAACAAAAGTTTCGGTTTGTTCAAGTGAAGGAGTTTCTCCATGGCCTCTGCACTGCAGCTTCACATATTTACAATCGAATCCTTCTATTACTTTCTTGTTATAAAACCTAGTTGTGTTTGTTAAATCAATCCATAAACCGAATTTGATCTGTAAGAAGCCAACAAGGGTTATCAAATTTATTTTTAAATCTTCTAGTTACCTTTTTCACTTTAGCATAGCTGAATATCATTTTAGGGTCAAATCTACAATCTTGCGGCACTTGATCGTCAAAATCAGAACTCAGGGGTGTTTTTAAAGCCATGAACTTGCCTACGATCAGATTCTCCGATTTTCTGGGACAATGTAGCCACCTCGGTGGCAGAGGACCAGGATTTCTTTTAGGTCTGCTCATTTTCACTTAAAGATCTCGAATTAACGCAAACTATTATGTTAACTGCATGATTGAATTAAGCTTCGTAAATAAAGGTTTTAAATTATATGATTGTAGTAATTATTTTCTTAGTTCATATACATTTAAAATATATTTTTTTATTTTCACCTAACGCACTTTCCCCACTTTCCTCTTGTTGTCAACTTCTCAAATGTCAATGTCAACGTCAATTATTTAGCACGACAGATGCGTTCGACAATTCTATGTTCTTATTTTGATCTTGAACTAGGCCCGCATTTATAAACCGATATCAGAACTAGTAACTAGTACTATTCATTGCGTTCGGTCTGCCAAGTTCCTTTAACTCCTTTAACACTTTTTACTCTAAACGACCCTTTTAGCGTTCGGTTTAGTCCGATTAGTGAGTTTAACACGCTTACGGCCAATTTCATAATCAATTTGAAGGACACTTTAATTTTAAAGTTTCTTTTAACCATATAGTTTAAATAGCTTAAAGTCTCCTTTCATTAAAGGCCACTTTAGCTATCGATTATGAAATTGGCCGTTAAATGTCATTTAAAAGCACCCTAAAAAAAACTCCATTTTTGTCCCGCTCCAGCCCCTGACTATCCGAACTCGCCTATTGTATTTATCTTAGAATATATTTTATGCTGCGTTTGAGAATCCACATCGGATGCATTTTTTACATCTCGAGCGTTTTTTTATCCACATCGGACACATCTGTCCCATTACATTTACGTATACTGAATCACGTGATCAAAGATTTTTTACATCTCAGATGCATCCGATGTGGATTCTCAAACGCAGCAATAGTCAGAAAGGAGGAATCCTAAACGACCTTGGAATCGCGATGGTATCTAATTTTGACAGTGAACTAGACGAATATGGCGACAAGTGTTTCCGGTCTATCAGTGACGTACTGTCATAAAGGGGCGTAGAAAAGAAAATAATAAATTCTCATTTGCATATTATCTAAATTTACCGATTTCTCTCATTTTAACGAATTGCTATTTTCTTGCGAGAAGTTTGCATTTTTTTTTTATTAACCTTCATTATGTGAACAAATTTTACTTTAAAATTGCATGTTGGGTGGGATAAATATAGGAAAATATTTTTGGGATAATTTATAGAAGGATTTGATTTGAAAAATCAAAGCAATAATGTAAAAAAAAATATTGACTTTTTTACGTTCTTATTATGACAATGTCTTTATTAATCTACATTTTACAAATTATTGAGGTTTGAAAAATAAATATGTCTTGTAGATATGCGTTAAAAACTTAAATATCCTATACTTATATTTAGATTAAACACCGCTGTGATATTTCTTTCTTAGATGTTTTTATTGGAGTACATATAAAACTTCCTAATATTGAAAAGAATTTCTGATCATTTTATTACATAATATTATTAGTAATATTTTTTGCAGGACAATTTTGCATAAGCAGGTAAAACACCTTTCCAAGAAAGGATCCTATAACGTAATTATGATTCTATGAGTGCAAAATAGATTATTTTTAAATGTACATTCAACGCATTATTTGTATGCTTGGTCCAGTTATGATGAGAGTCAATTTGTACTCTTTGATATTATTTGTAATATTTATATGAAACTACTGAACATTTTACCTTATATTGTTTTTATAGGAAAATTCCGTGTTTTTTTAACTGTATAATGGAACAACCTAAGTTTTATCAAAGGTTTGTAAGTTTTTTATAATTGAACCATTCAAAATTTTAATAAGATCTGTTTTTATTAATAATTTTAATCAATTCCAGTTCTCTGCATTTTACAGAATAACTGTGTCGTCTGAAAAACTTACAATATTTCCATTTGTATTTAAACGACAAATTATTTAAAATAAAATTAAACAAGAGAGACCTAAGACAGTATCTTGAGGCATGCGATATGTTACTTATTTCCTTACTTGAGATACTAAGGGTGAGATTACAGAACGTCTGCAACTTTGCAGATATGCAAATATGGCGGCAACTTTGCAGATCTGCAAATATGGCAAACTTACAGATGCAAGTATTCAAAAAATATCTGCAAACTCGCAATATTTATTACCCCGAATAACACTAAATCCAAATCCATCCTTAAGAAGGTTACAACATCCTACAACCATGAAGTCTTCTGTTTCTTTTGATTGAATACAGTTCATGGTGTCAGATTATCGTGTTTTTAAACATAAATAGATTTGGATTTAGTGTTGTTGGGCGTAATAAACCACAATAAATATTGCGAATTTGCAGATCTTTTTTGGAATACGAAAACTTGATACATGCATATGTAAGTCCGCCATATTTGCAGATCTGCAAAGTTGCAGACGTTCTGTAATCTCACCCTAATTCTATTTGTGTTCGTTTTCCACCATATACAAGATGTCCATTCACCGAACTACAGTATATATTAAATAAAAATTTGAAATTATCGCCGTTTTTCTGGATGAAATAAAGCACTTTTGATTCTTTTAGTACATTTGTTGACAATTTAGTACATTTTTTCCAATTTAGTACGTTTTTATGTTATTGTTTTGGCAGCACTGGTTTAAAGCGATTGGCGACACTGATTACTGTCAACGTCAAGGACGTGTCAGCGAATTAAAAAATATAAAAATGTATTGTACTGCGAAAAATAAAAAATTATATGCGTATATAAAAAAAGAGAACACATAAAGGAAATATTTATAATTAAATGTCTTCTATAATTTCAGTTTTAAGTGTAAATCATCTTTTGCCAGAACTGGAAAAAGTTTTGCCCGATAAAAAGTTCCATAATGTAGAAAATGCAGGTAAATTGATATTTCTTGTTTGTTTAAAAGCTCAGTACTGATGGACAATTTAAATTAATTAATTACTTTTAATACAAGAAAAGGATTCTCATAAAAAAATTAATAAATATCAAAGATTTCTTCAGTACTTAGCGATTCATATTCGTTTGGAGGCTGGTTATAATTGTGTCTATTATGACGCATTTAAACGACTCATCTCTTCAGTTAGGCTACGATATAACATTACAGGTTTTCAATTAATTTGAATCTCTAAAAAAGCATACAAAACAAGCTGAACTTATTGACATTCCTGCTATTTCAATTGATGGGTCACATGACATACTAAATTCAGCTTTTCCAGAGTTTTGATTTATTACCTCATTTGAAATATAGTAGAAAAAGGAGGCTCTAGATATTATTCAACATATATGAAAGCCAGAACGATTTATTTTTAATAATAGATGAAACAACATATTTCTCTCAAACAATCTTCTGCTCTTATATCATAATAGTGTTATTGCATTTGTGAGATCTCGTCTTGAGTATGCTTGTATGCTTTGGTTTCCTATTTATGTAAAAGACATCCAATCTATTGAAAATGTTCAGTGGCAGTTCTTTAAATATGTAATATACAAAACAGAAGGAGTTTACCCTCAGCAAGGTACAGCAATAGTATAATAATCCAAAGATTTGATCAGCTATTATTTAACAATAGAAACATATATTATTCCTGCATATTTTGTGGCTTTATTGACTCCTCACAACTTTAATCACAACTTAATTTCAAAATACCAAGGTTTAATTCAAGAAAAGAATGTTTTTAATTACCATTTCCAAGAACAAATGTGTTTATAAAATCTCCTACGTTTGTAATATGTAACAAATTCAATAAATTATGTAATCAGGTTGAGTTATACTTCAAATAAAATGTTATCAGTGTTCTTAAAAATAAATAAAAGTATTGAATATTCCTTTATGTAAGTTTTAATTATTATTATTATTATTATTATTATAAAACACTTGTAGGTGAATTAAATTTTGGTCTGTTTGCATAATAAAGGAATTTTTTTAAAGTTAGAGATTATTTTTTAAGTCTTGACTCAATTATTTATTTAAGACTGTTTGCAAAATTCTAAATTGCAACAAAATACCAATGAAAAATATGGCAGGCTTCGCAGCAGGCAATAATACTATTATTATTGGCAAAAATGGCATACAAGCTAGAACGAAAAGTTAAAACAAAAACATATTTATTTTTGGATGTATATGTCATTCATTTGCATTGTGTTCCTCAGCAGCATGTACAAAACTATCTCAAAGCCTAGAAGATTTTATAAGAAGTATCTATGATTACTTTGCCCACAGTAATAAACATATTGTTGAATTTTGTGATTTTCAAAACTTTTAATTTTAAATAAAAACGCCAACACTAAGGGATATTTGCACCACTAATCGTTAAGAATAAGCAAAGCTTAAAATGACATTGTTATTAATGGAAGAATGTCATTTCAAACTTGACTTATTTCTTAATAACTAGCAGTGCGAATAGGCCTTCAAGTCAGGCAAAGTCAAATATTTATTAAAAAGCTTAATCTGGTACTCATTGTTATATATAGGTCCAATTCACAATATTCTAATTTTGAAATATTTCTTACAATTTTAACAAATGTCTTATTACTATTAAAAGCTAAACACAAAACTAGTAGAATCATTATATGTGGGGATTTTAATGTAAAATTTTTGAATCTGAACAAGACAACTTACCGACTTGTTACTTCAGTTTAATTTTGAACAAACAATATTTACATATACTCGTATTAGAGAGAGCTCTCAAACATGTCCAGACAACATATTTGCTAACTTTTCTTTTGCATTTGCATTTCTTTGACAACAACATCCTGATTTCTGTGGAACAATATGGTTTTAGACATGGGAAAACAATTACAGATGCCATGCTGGCTTTAATGAATAACATTCAGGAGTCTTTAGAAAACAACACAATGCGTAGCTATATTCACTGATCTGTCTAAAGCATTTGACTGTAAGTCACACATTTGTTAATCAACAAACTAGATAAATATGGCATTAGAGGCATTGGAAATAAGATGATTGCTTCTTATTTGCAAAACAGACAACAAAGTGCATATTACAGAAATAAACCTTTATTAATGAAAAGAGGTGTTCCACAAGGATCCGTACTAGGCCCTCTATATTTTTAATATATACCAATGATCTTCCATCATATATGAATTCAAATAATACCGAATTACTAACTACCATATATGCAGATGATACCAATTTCTCATATCACTGCAATAACACATCTGACATAGTTATCAAAAACTCTAAAATTATGACTGAAGCTAAACAATGGTTTGATAGCAACGAATTATTTTTAAATCACAATAAAACTGAAAAAATGTGTCTTCAGGTTGAAAACCAAACTACTAGTGAAACAATGAACACTAAATTTCTCTGTATATATTTTGACATACAACTTACATGGAACTATCAAATAAATAACTTATGCAACAATTTGGCAAAATTCATATTTGCTCTATGTAGAATATCAAATATAGTTAATACAGAAGCAGCAATAACTACTTATTATGGCTTATTCCATTCCAATTAACATATGGGATTCTAACTTGGGGAAATGCTAGCTTCACTTCACTACAAAGACTTTTTATCTTGCAAAAATCAGCAGTTCGCTCTATTCTGCGGGTAAATTATTATGAACCATGCCGAACACTATTCAAGCAACTTAGCATAATGACCCTGTTTTCGCAAATAGTATTTGAAAACTTGCTAGTCATAAAAAATAATTTGGGAAACTTCACATGTCATTTAGCACGTCGTTAACAATAAATTATATTCATATATTGCTGTTAACGACGTGCTCGAAGAGCACGTCGCAATCTATTATACAATATGTCTCAGATATTGCTGTTAAAGATAATATGGGACATACAGTATAATAGATTGCGACGTGCTCTTCGAGCACGTCGTTAACAACAAATTGTATTCATATATTGCTGTTTACGACGTGCTCCAAGAGCACGTCGCAATCTATTATACAATATGTCCCAGATATTGCTGTTAAAGATGTGCTCTGTCGCAATCTATTATATAATATGGGACATATTGTATAAAAGATTGCGGCGTGCCCTTCGAGCACGTCGTTAACAAATTGTATTTATATATTGCTGTTAACGACGTGCTCGAAGAGCACGTCGCAATCTATTATACAATATGTCCCAGATATTGCTGTTAAAGATGTGCTCTGTCGTAATCTATTATATAATATGGGACATATTGTATAATAGATTGCGACGTGCTCTTCGAGCACGTCGTTTACAACAAATTGTATTCATATATTGCTGTTAACGACGTGCTCGTCCCAGATATTTCTGTTAAAGATGTGCTCTGTCACAATCTATTATATAATATTAGACAATCATACATACGATACCAGAGGGAAAAATTAGCTAATCCAAACGAGAACTAGAATAAACAAGTCCCGAACAATAGGCATTTCATTATATAATGCACTTCCGCCCCACATCCATAATCTACCAGGAAAAAAGTTTAAACATCAAATTAAAAAGATATTACTGGACATGTGTCTATACAGGGTGTCCTTTAAAATGTGTCCCAAAATTCTCAGGCAGATTCCTTAACCAAAAAATGGAAAAAAAGTTCCTATAGACCTATGTCCTAAAGTGCCCCCTAAGCGAGCAACAGCCTCTCGAAATCATTTTTTTTATTTTGATTTTTTGAATTTTCTTAAAAATGGAAACAAATAAAAGAACCAAATTTTGGCTGTTAAATATGATCAATAATAGTGACCTTTTGACACCTTCAAAAAGAAATTATTTCGTCAGGGGTGTACTTGGGAATTTTTTGAAAATTTTGATTATTCATAACTTTTTTGTGTTTTTGGTAATGACTTATCCATATTTTTTTTTACATTCTACATTGAAAACTACGTCAAAAAGGAATACTTGTTTGATCTCGATTGGAGCAGCCGTTTCCGAGAAAACATCATCCAAAGATATTCGTGCAGTTTAGGTTAATTTTCAATTTTGGCTGTTGTAGCCAAAAAGTTGGAAATCGAGGAACACGGCTTACATGTCCCTATCCTTACTTTTGAAGGTCTATTCAGTGGCAAAAAATATTAGTTGATACAGGGTGATCAAAAATCGGATGTGATTTTGGATTTTTGATAACCCTGTATCAAATAATATGTATTTTATGTCACTGAATAGACCTTAAAAAGTTAGGATAGGGACTGTAAGCCGTTTTCCTCGATTTCCAACTGTTTGGCTACAACAGCCACCTGAATTTGAAAAAATGTGATTTTTGAGTAGCTGTAGATCCTTTACTATTCATATTAGATAACAAGTGTGATATATCATTGAAATCAGATTATCGAGCAGATTCTAAAAATATAAAAATATACAGGGTGTTCCATTTAAAAAACATAACTTTGATTTGGCACGGCCTTATGAAACACCCTGTCACATCGTAACTAATTTTAAAATGTGAAGCTTAAAGCTGCCTACTTTTATTATAACAGATCTACAGAGCTTCCTCACACTAATCAATCACCCTGTATACTATTTTTAGCTCTCTAAATAAAATTTAAAAATTTAGTTCCCATTTATTTATTATGAAGACCATCTGATTTCCCAAATCAATGGATTCTCTTTCTTAACTATTCACTACACATATTCTCTCATTTAATTTCAGAAGTGGGAGTCGGACGTAACACGGTATGGAAAGTTTTGCGTGAACAACAATTGTACCCTTACCACATTCAAAAAGTTCAGGCACTTAAAGCTACTGATTATGAGCCGCGAGTTATCTTTTCTGAATGGTTTCTTGGAAGATGTAATCAAGATGCAATGTTTCTTAATAAAGTGCTATTTACCGATGAAGCTGGTTTCACTAGAGATGGTATAATAAATTTTCGAAATATGCATGAATGGGCTGAAGATAACCCTCACGCGGTTGTTGAA